GGGTGTCACCATACAGGTTACAAATCAGACCATACAATCAATTTTAGATTAGCCAAAAACTACTCTATCCAATCAGAGAAGCCCCTAAACTGCATACTTGTTGGTGGATCTAAAAAGGAGATAACGCTGGTTGCACAGAGCAGTGTTGACCAATGGAGACTGAACGCAAGGACACCCGATTGTTGTCTTTGTGTGCGTGGAGATAAAACATGGGTATGTTGCATTTTTATGCAGCCCAATGGCCAAAAAAAAATCATGTCACCGCAATGTGCCTAATGAATAAATAATAAAAAAAATAATATAGAATAGAACAAAGTATTTTGACCCTTTATGTGACCTGTACAAGGAGTACACAGTTCAGCGCTCATTAAAAAACACGACGCATCTTGCCGAACTTGTTTTCAAATCTCTTCTGCTTAGACGAGCTGATGAGTTTGATTGGCCCTCAAATGTGACTTAATCTTTTCTCTTGCAAAGCCGGGCTGAGAAATATTTTGACCTTTTTTCGCCCATGGGAGTTCCCTCTTTCATGATCCGTGGCCGTGGAAGACCGAGGCCAGACCAAATTTGGCACTATCCGTATGCTTTGGTTAACCTGACAACAAACTCTTTTGGATTCTAAGTTCTCATGAACACGGCCCTACTAACCCTCTGGTCCTGCAGTATTGTGTAACCGCATAGCGTCCCTTTAATTTTGTAAAGCGCTGTGCAAATTGTTGGCTAAATCCTGAATGATAAGCATAATATCAATAATAATAGTAGCAATATGTGCAATTATTGTTAAAAAATTAACAATAATAATAAGAAAAAGGATTATCAACCTCATCAATAACAATACTAACAAAATATTTGTATTATAAATTATTAACAATTAATAATAATATTGTTAAATATCACTAATAATAATTATTACCATTGTTATTATTAATATTAGTAGTAATAATAATAATAAATAAGAATACTAATAATAATATTATTAATTGCAATTATAATACATATTTTGTTAATTAACACATTTTATATTATTATTATACATGATTTATATAGCGCCAAAAGTTTGCGCAGCTCTTTACAATATAAGGCTGGGCACACACCTTACAACCATCGCAAGACTTTTGTCTTGCGATGGTTGTAAGGTACTTAAAAAAACGTACGATCTGCCTATCTTGCATAGGCAGATCGTACTTGCGATGATCGCAAGCCACGCCCCCTGGGGGGTGGGCTTCCGATGACCGCAATGCCGAACGGGCAGTGTGCGCTTGCGCACACCTGCCAGTACGGCTTTTATCGTACGAACATGCCACAAACCCGCCGAACATCGTACGATGCTCGGCGGGTTTTCGAACATGTCCGTAAGTTAAAAGTCGTGCGACCTTACAGTAGTAGAGGTCGCACGGCTTCCACACACCTTGCGATAATCGTACGATCGCGGGACTTCCCGCGATTATCGTACGATTATCGTAAGGTGTGTGAGGACCTTAAGAAAGACATTACAATCACAATGCAATTCAGACAAGATGGTAAGGAGGGCCCTGCCCCTGAGGGCTTACAATCTAAAAGGGGAGGGGGAAGTGATACATGAGGCGGTTATGGATGAGGATAATAATTTTTTTTAATCATCATTATATTATTGAGTGTTTTGTTTTTTATTGTTGGTATTGTTAGCGTTGTGGATGTTATTAGTATTAATACCATAATTATATGAGCAATAACACTAACATTATTATTAATAATAAACATCAACAATGCTAACAATACCAACAATAAAAACAGCCAACACTCACAATACTGCTGCTGCTACTACTAAATAACAATAATAATAATAATAATTAGTATTAACATTAGCATGAGTGTTGTTGTTTTTTTTTTTATTGTTGGTATTGTAGATTAGCAATGACACTAACATTATTAATAATTGCCTATTTATTTTTGCGCTGTTTTTAAAGCCTTCATCTTCTTGGTACCAAATTCAATAGCTACCAACACTCGATTAAAAACGGCACCCATCCCATTATACAATAGAGTACAAAGCATACTGTTTCATGCGTTGCTAAAAAAAAAAAAAAAGGCACATGTGCATTTTTGATCCATCGCGGTGCGTTGGCAGTCCGTTAATAATGAAAAGGCGGCATAATTGCAAGACACAATAATACGTGCAATGCAACATGTTAACACACATGTGTGAAGTCACAGCGAGGGATTGAAAAATATGAATAGACCCCCAAAACCATTTTTTATTTTGCATCGACAGCAGCAGCCCACCGCTATGGTTGTCCTTTTAGCAGGACGAGGTTGGTGGACAGTGGCTGTTTTTTTCTGTGCTCTGTGCCTGCCCAGCTCAGTTTGGGGGTGGGCCCACATTGGCAGCTTTACCTTTGGTGCCAGAGATCCTTGCTCCGGCAGTACCCAGGGGTCATGTGATACAAGTACTGATGACCAATTATTGTCTTTAACAGGCAGAGAAGGGGCGGCGCTGACCATCACCAGCAACTCCAACGGCAATGTGCTCACTGGGACAAATGTCAGCCTGGACCTCTCATACAACATCCAATTACCCAGCAATACTGCCATCACCTGGACGGTAAATGGCTCAACAGTAGTCACCTGGTTCAACGGGATAGCCTTCCCATCTTCAAGCTACACGGGCAGACTGCAGATCATCAGGAATGGATCTCTGCTTATTTCCAATTCCACAAAAAAAGACCCGGGGACTTATGTTGTCACCGTCAGTGCGCCTGGAGAAAATCAGGCCACGCTGTCTTTCCAAGTGAATATCTATGGTAAGCGGTCTACGGCATTACCTGAATTACACCGGCCTTAGCAAGGCGAAGGGCAAACTCTAATATTCCATAGCAGCCAATCAGAACTCATCTTGCAATGCCCTGAACGCCAACCAGCACAAGTCTGTTCACTTTTAGGCAAATCGCAACAAAAAACTTGTTCCATACGTTAGCATGTTGCAGGTGCCATTTAATTTTGAACATAGAGCCAACTTGGAGCCCAGCAGTCAGTAGTGGGAGCATTGATCTGTAAAGAGGGCTGCCATGGCAGTGACCTCTAGCAGTCTCATGTTACATATGACCCCAGTCCATCACCACACCTATAGCACAGTCTCTGACCATTTTCTTTAGTAGGTCTTCAATCTATGACATACGTCTATAGCATTACATAAAATTAATCATGCAAGTGGCCCTTTGGAGTTTGCAGTACGACCCTTGGAGGCCAGCAGCCAGTGGTGGGATCTATGAAGGGACTGTAATAGCAGTCTCATGCAACATGCAGGGCTGGATCAACATAGGGGCTACTAGAGCGCCAGCTCCAGGCCCACCCCTGAAAATAGGCTTGGCCAGCCCGGATCATCTGATGGCAATTTGGCCCGGCTGGGCTGAACGCAAAGGCAGATGCTCTGGCAGCTCTCTAGTCATACATATTAGGTGGCCGCTTGCTGGGGTTAGGATTAGGGCTGGGGCCCCAGCAGGGAGCGAACGGCTACCTTATTAGAGAGCTGCCTCCGCTGCTTCCCGTCCAACAGCACCAGGCCAATGATGTTCTTAATCCGGCCCTGGTATAACATGTCTCCAGTCTCTGACTGTCTCCGACAGCATGATTGCAGTCTCCAACCGCTCCTATAGAACAGTCTCTGACCTTTTTCTTTAGTAGGTCTCCAGGCTATGATAGTCTTCTGTAGAATGATACGATTATAACATGTGGCCCTTTGGTGACATAAGGGGCCACATTTGAGGCCACCTAAACCTCTACTGGTTTAAAACAGCTAACCTGCGTCCATAGGTAAAATCACATGACCTGAACGGCTCCGCAAACCGCATTTTATTACCAAGTGGCAGGAAAATGGCCACCAGGGCGTGATGAACGTTTCTAAGTTACCTGTGCATGACATTTGTGCCATTGTTGCTCCTTCACAGATGCAGTAGTGAATGCCACAGTGATGGGGTCCCCTGAGGTGGCCGATGAGAAGACAACGGTGGTGGTTAATCTGATCTGTAACGCATCTGGTGATGTTGAATTTGTCACTTGGACGAAGGATGGCAAGACCCTGGCTTACAATGACACCTACAGTCTACAGGATGGGAACAGGACCCTACAGATAAAATACCCCAACAGGACTCATGCTGGAAACTACACCTGCAACGTGTCCAATCCGGTCAGCAGTGATGATGCATTATGGGAACTTAAGGTTTCATGTGAGTGGATATGGTACACGGGGCTGTCCCCATAAGGAGGCAGCCTGAGGCTGCTGGCTCAGGTGGCATCTCTCTGGGTCACGTAGGTAGGCACCAGGCAGAGTGGCTGGCATGGCCTCTCTGCTGCACAATGTTTGCAGTGTGTCTGCCGCCCTGCTTTCTGGCCATACACATCTCCTCACCCAGATCTGAGCAACCTGGGATGCCCTTGCAGGCATCCTGCCAAGCTCCTGGCAACCGGTGACATCATTGTTTGCCGGAGCTTGGCAGGACGCCGGCCAGGGCATCCAAGTTGCTAATTGCTGAGCTGGAAAAGATGTATGGCCGTTACACATCTTCCCCACCTGGCTCTTATTGGCATCACTCTCCACCAGCAACTCCCCCACACTGATTGTGCACAATACATCACCCCCCCTTTCCCATCTCAGGTGGCAAAAAGGCTAGGGACACCCCTGACTGTATAGATAACGTAAGCTGCGGCCTGAGCATTGCAACAGCTCACGTGAGCTCCCAGATTTGAAAACTGATACATTGCCTGTGTAGCTCATAGCAAAGAGCCCTACAGAGCCGAGGGGCCACTGGGAGGAACATTGCCGGGAAACTGTATCCAACAATGAGAAATAGCAAATTTGACCTCTGTATAGATAGATAGATATTTATTAGTGATGCGCGGATATCATTTTTTCCAGACCGAGTAAGAGTACCGATACCAATTACCGATACCTTTTTTGTGGGTGGGTGTCATGTTTTTCTAAAACGATACAGACTGGTGATTTTAGGACAGTGGTGGAGTGCCAGGGCCTGGTCCCAGCTGCAAAAGCTGCACCCCTGGTAGTTCCATCACTGACCCCAAGCTGTAGAGGGACTACAAATCTCAGCAATACATTATACAGCAATGCAGAATACCACCAGCTAAATACCACCAGCTATAGGAGGACCCAAAATCCCAGCAATACATTATACAGCAATGCAGAATAATATGAAGCTACATGCTCTGTGCTGCTCCAGGGTGCCAACCTGATGTCTCCAGCGCAGGATATTAGGAAGACTTTGTGGGGTCTCAGCAGGGGTCCCGGTCGGTCTTGTCGGCGGGTGCAGGTGGCATGGTTCCACAGGAAGGAGGAGGAGATGTGTGACCGGCACAGTAAACAGGCACCATGGCTCACAGGAAGGCTGCCTTGCTAGGGACCTCAGCAGCCTTCCTGTGAACAGTGGAACCTGTTTACAGCGCCTTCTTCAGGGTAAAGATGTAAAGCGCTGGTATCGGCGCAAAGTATTGGGGCATTTTCAGTTAAAATGTCCAGTATAGGCACCGATACTGGTATGGGTGCATTACTAATAAAAATTCAGTAAACTGCCCTTTATCCGGCATTCATGGGGATTGGTAGATTCCGGATAACTGTAGTTTCTGGTTGCTTGAGAGTTACTATTAAAAATAGGTCTACCCAATACTATACCATAAACTCTATATTTACTTCATATTAATATTGAAATGCAGTAATCAAAAGCATAAAAGACAAATAGGCCCACAATCGTTTCTAGGATAATACATGCCGCAGATCAGCAGAACAATGAGTACAGAGGGGATTTTTTTTTCTGGTTAGTTGAATTCAGGATAACTAAATAATTTACTGTAATTGTATTTTCTGTTCTCCACAGACACCGACGGTCCAGCTGCCCTCAGCGCGGGAGCCATAGCTGGGATTGTGATCGGCTCAGTAGTGGGAGGTTTACTGCTCATCGCTCTCATTGTTCTGCTTCTGGTGCTTTGTATACGAAGGAGAAAAAGTGGTAAGAACAATTCTATTGTATTCTGTTTATACTGTGAAGTGTGTCAGTACTGTATTAAAATGTATGTAAAGCCAACATTTTGTAGAGTAGAGAATGGTTAAAGAGTAACGCCGTTTCCAAAAGTCCCAGTATTGCCTGTGGTCCCCCTGCATCTGATCCTTTCCCTATAACTGACCTACCATGCCTTGTTCTGCTCTGTGTCTGGATGTGAAGGTGGCCATCTTGGTAGAGGCAGGGCTTTGTTTCCTCATGGCAGAGCCTCCAGCAAGAACAGCGAGTAAAATCAAATTAGGCTCCCTCCGAATCTCCCAATAGGTAGTATTTGGAGGCAGCAGTGTCTTAGATCTAACACTGAAGATATACCATTATGAGTCTGAAGGCACAGGAGTGCCTAGGCACCCTTATATCAGGAGTTTGCAGCTATATATTAAGAGGAATTTAAGGCATAAGGTAACATTTAATAGGGAAATCACCTGTCCCCATGGGAAGAGGTCCTCCTCACCTTCTGTTACAACTGAAACATTTTGGATTTCACATTACTATTGGTTTGCAGAAACCACCAGGACAGTTATAAAGCTGAATCTTCCCAGCAGGGGCACACACAGGAATAAAAAAAATGTACAACCAAATGTCCAAGAGGAACATGGACTTATCAAACGTCCATCCAATTCATAGAGAAAGCTAGCTCTGGTTAGGCTGCTCTCAAAATGATGGACAACAACTGCCGTGGTTTCCCAAAAGTTCTAAGTAGACATTTAAGCTGCAGAAAAATTTGGTTCGGTTATTTCGTTATTTTGGAATTGGAGCTTCGGTCCCGAAATTCAATTCGGTTCGGGTTTCAGATTCGGATGAGCTTACGAAAGTATATCCGTTACGACTACCACAGAAAACCATATACAGATATTGATACCAAGCTTGAATTTCCTAGATCCGAATGGCATACAGGAGCCAAATTTTCCAAATTGCATTCAGCAGCTCCCGAATACCATTTGGCTCTGGGAGCCTCAGCTTCAGTAATATATGTATATGGCTCCCAGACCCGAATGGCATTTGGGATCCGAATTTCCAAATTCCATACGGGAGCTCCCGAATGCCATTCGGGGCTGGGAGCCATATACATATAATACTAAAGCTGAGGCTCCCAGACCCAAATGGCATTCAGGAGCTACCGAATGCAATTTGAAAATTCAGATCCCGAATGCCATATCATGTGTATGGCTCCCATGTTGGCGTAACGAAAATTCGCATTGAGATTCATTCGGATGCATTAAACCGAAAAACACATATGATCGGCCAGAAGTGTCACATGTCCGATTCAGTTTAGTTATTGAATGAAAGTCGGACAGGATCAGATATTCGGATTCAACATACTCGGATGCATTGGGATTGGGAATTTCGGATGTGCCCAAATCTCAGAAAATTCATTCGAATTTTGATTCGGAACGGAACGAATCACACATGTCTAGTTCCAAGTCTAGTCAGGATATGATGAAATGGGCATATTACAGCAACTCTGAATTGAGGGCATCCAGGATGCTGGAGAGGGCTTCTAAACTTTCAACCAGGTCATTTTGCCATCTGAATCCGTTCATGTGCACACAGTATGTGAGCCCTGATGAAGTAAGATTCTTTGGCCCTCAGAATGCATTCACTGTCCTGCTCGATCACATGAATTTAGTCACAAAAAATTAACGTTTATTTGGCACATTTTAAGTTGTTTTGTCCTCAGTAATTATTCATACACTTACACAAAAAAGATAAAGTATGCTTCGGAAAACAAGACCTAACGACATGTTATATTTGCTAACATTAGGAGTCAAGAAGAAAATTGCAGAGCCTCAACATAAAGATGTTCTGCGCACAGTAAGCATTATGAATCTTCCTCTCCAGTCCCTCTGTGTTCTATTCTTTGTTCTACTGTCCATTTCCTTCAGGTCTTGTGGGTTTCAGTACATACTGTACATCAAGCAGTCACCCTATACCCCTTCCTTTGCTTTGTGTTCTTTTACTGGTTACCCCCTTCATGTCTTGTAGGTTTCAGTAAATACATTAAGTATCCTGTACCCCTTCTTTTGGTTTCTATTTCCTTCTGTCCATATTTTTCATGTCTTTAAGTTTGGTCAACACATTAAGCATTAGATATCACTATACCCGTCCCTTCCCTTTGTGTATCCTTTTTCTGTCCTACTGTACTGTCCATCTCTTTCATGGCTTGTAAGTTTTGAGTTTGTTTCCTTCATGTCTTGAAGGCTTCAGTAAATAGATTAAATATTATATATCCCTATACCTGTTCCTTCCCTCTGTGTTCCCCTTTATCTGTCCTACTGTCCTTCTCTTTCATGTCTTGTAGGTTACGAGCTCATCGCCTTCATGTTTTGAAGGTTTTTAGTAAATACATTAACCCCTTCGTGACTGACGACGTACAGTGTACGTCGCCAGCATCGGGGCTGATAGATATCTTATACCCATTCCTTTGCGTTTCCCTCGTGTCCTACTGTACTGTCCATTTCTTGTATGTCTTGTAGGTTTTGGGTTAATTTCCTTCATGTCTTGAAGATTCCAGTAATCACATTAAACATATGATATCCTATACCCTTTCCTTTGTGTTCCCTTCTTTCCTACGGTCCACTTATTTCATGTCTTGTAGGTTACGGGCTCATCGCCTTCATATTTTGAAGGTTTTTAATAAATACATTAAGCATTAGAGATCTTATACCCATTCCTTTCCATTTCCCTCTTCTGTCCTACTGTACTGTCCATCTCTGGTAGGTTTTGGGTTCATTTCCTTCATGTCTTGAAAATTCCAGTAAGCACATTTAACATTAGATTTCCTATACCCTTTCCTTTATGTTCCCTTCTTCTTTACTACTGTCCATCTCTTTCATGTCTTCTAGGTTACAGGCTTAACACCTTCATGTCTTTTTAGGTTTCACTAAATACATTAAGCATTAGATATCCTATATCCATTCCTTCCCTTTGTGTTCCCTTTTCTGTCCTACTGTCTTCCTCGTTCATATCTTGTAGGTTTCAGGAAATACACTATCGCCAGATGACTCGGCCTATTTTATCCTATACCCATTCCTTCCCTTTGTGGTTTCCTTCTTCTGTCCTACTCTATTGTCCATCTCTTTCATGTCTCATAGGTATTGGGTTGTTCTTCTTGTCTTGAAGGCTCCTGTAAACACATTAAATATTAGATATCGTATTCCCTTCTTCTGTCCTACTGTCCATCCCTTACATGTTCCCTTCGTTTGTCCTACTATCCATCTCTATGTCTTTTAGGTTTCAGTAAATACATTAAGCATTAAATATCCTATATCCATTCCTTCCATTTGTGTTCCCTTTTTTGTCCTACTGTCTGCCTCTCATATCTTGTAGGTCTCAGGAAATACACTATCGCCAGATGACCCGGCCTTTTTTACCATGAACAACATCATGTATCGCAATTCGTCCATCTCGATGGGTTCCTACAACATGGTAAGTTCATATGGGGTCCTCAGGCCTTTAACATATTGTTCATATGGGGTCCTCAGGCCTTTAACATATTGTATTTCTTTTGGCCATAAAAAAGGTCAGAGCCAAGCAGCTCAGACATGACAAATTAATAAGCCACAAAAACTGTATGGCTAAAAGGTATGTGGGCACCTGACTATCACATCAATGATATATAGTCAAAGCATGTGGGCATTCCTTCAAATTATGGAGTTCAGATCTTTCCAGTGAAGAGCACATTTAAAGGAGAACTATGAGATGAGTGATTTCCACTCACCTCATAGTTCTAGCCGACCTGTGACAATGAGACTGTCACAGGTCGGCTCAGTAGATCGGGAGGTGAGCGAACACATACCGTGACAGGGGGAGGGCTGGATTCCCCTCTCCCCACTCCGATCTGCCAGCGCTGACTGGCGGATTGGACGGGGAGGGGGCGGGTACAGCTGGCTCTGCCTCTAGATAGGCAGAGCCAGCTGTCACTCACGCAGCTGGGCGGATCCCGTCATCTACGTCGGGATCCGCTCTGGCTGCGGCGTCTCAGTATACCGCGAGCTGTAGCTCGCGGTATACTGAGCTTAGGGTAACGGGAGGACGCTAGTTTGTGTCCTCCCGTTACCCTAACTATGGGGAAAAACACTGACCCCATAGTTCTCCTTTAATGCTACAACATACAAAAGCATTTTTTTTTTATAATGATGCACTTTCAATCTTGTAGTACCAGTGTGGTGAAGTCCCCATTCTGTTCCGGTACGATTGTGCCCATGTGTACAAAGCCAGCTCCATAAAAGACGTGGATTGAGGAGTTTTGGTGTGGAGGGACTGGAGTGCCCTGCACAGAGCCCTGGCCTCAATCCTACTGAATACTTTTGGGATAAATTGAAATGCCAATTGCAAACCAGGTATTTTTATCCAAAATCAGTATGTGACCTCTTTCAGAAGAATGGGCACACATTCCCACAGACACACTCTAAAATCTCATGGAAAGTCTTCTCAGATGATTGGATGCGGTTATAGCTGTAAAGGGAAAGAGGGCTACAACTCCATATTAATGTCCAAAGTTTTGGAATGGATGTCCAAAAAGCTCATAGGTGTGATGGTCACAAACGTTTGGCCATATGCAGTGGGGTCATAAAAGGGGGGGGGGGGTGCGGCCCGCACCCGGGTGCCACCATTGGAGGGATGTCACCCCATATGAAAAGTCGGGCACTCCGTCATAGACCGAGAGCCTGACAGTGTCACAAGAGAGGAGGAGACCCGGCAGCATACCTCATCCCGCCGGGTGAACGTCCCCTCATCACCAAGATGGCTGCCGGCAGTCATGAATAAGATGACTGCGCATGCACGATGACGTCACAGCGGCGTGTCACCCACTTCTTTGCTCCGGGTAACACCCGGCCTCGGGACGCCCCCGGCCATATGATGTATATGAATGCAAACTATACAGCGATAGAAGGCTTTTAAAACAAACACTAGTACACTAAAATTGATGTACAAAAGTAAGGTGGACTACACAGTTTGATGTACAATAACTCTTACAATAATTTTGCAGTACTACAAAGACAACATGTCTGAACACGACAGTCCTTCACCCAAACCTCCATCAACCCCAACAAAAGTAAAGCATGCTACACAAGTATAACGGTCTCACCTTACACACAGGAGAACTTCAAGGGCTCAGGACCAAGTATTACTCCTCAAGACAAGCCAGCAACGAGCCAAAGCCGACGTCACTCATCCGAATGTGGCAATTTCAGTTAAATAGAAATATTTATCTGCAGTTTATAAACTAAGCAGGCTGTTATAGAGACTTTAGGGAGCATTTTGCTGATGGTTACTTTCAGTATTGTGATCAGACTGGAGTGATTGGACATTAATGTTCACCTCCATTATCGACTTACCATCTAATGGGTCACGTGATTTATGTTCCACTTGATATGGATTGGGCACATTTCATTATCAGCATCCCCTTTGTATGGGTGACTATTGTTAATCATATATATATAAAATCTATCTGCTGGTCCCAACAGGGAGTCCACATGCCATCCAACAGGATAACATGTTTCCCATATTTAACGCCCAATTTGTTTTGTAGGTCAGTTTTTGAATTTTGTTTGCTCTGTGCCTCTTTGCGCACAGATTTGCCTCCACTTCATGTCCCCTCCACTTCCTGTCCAAGAGACACAATAGGACGTAATAGGAAATTGCTCCAAAGTAAGTGGATATCTTCACTTAGACATGTGTCACCAGAACAGGCGTACCCAAGATTTTCCCTCACCTCCTCCTCTAGTTACAACTGCACAATGTTGGATATCCGATCACTTTGTGCTCAGTTGATAGTGGTACCAGAACATATAGAGAAGTTGAATCCACCCAGCGTGCACACAGATGGCAATAGAAAAACGACAGGGATTCTAAAACTCTATCTGAAGCTAAAAAGAAGGTTTTGGCTAGAATTAAATTTAGGAGGTGCAATAGGGGGGCTAAAAAATGTGGAACACAACTCTAAAATAATAAAAAAGGGCACCCATGTTACAAAGCACAATCCACCCTCATGAAAGTTCAGATTTCCATAAAGACTCATCAATAAATCAAAACGTTTCCTGAATGTAGACAACTTGAAGAAATGGTTACAAAACCAGGAAGCAGATTGCTACACCGATACAAGTTACTAAACCATGTTTACGAAGATGGATAGAAGTTGGACAACAACAATCTCTGTGACTGAGTAGACATCGAGGAAACAAGACTTTTTTTTTTGTTCTGGAAACAGAAGCAAACAAGGAAGGAGAAAAGTAGTCGTTCTTATTTTTCCCGAGACCATACTTTAGTTTTACACTAAGAACTTTTGAATTTCTAACATAACATTAGACTTGTTATCTCCGATCTTTTAGGGTGTCCAAAGACTTCTCAAATTTCTTACATATCATTAGACCACTTATCCCTGACTGGTGAAGGTGCCCAAAGACTTTTTGAACTTCTAACATAACATTAGACTGGTCATCCCAGATCAGTGATGGTGGCCAACAACATGAGATGAGGGTCACCTTGAGAGATCCCAGGGAATTTCTAATATAACATTACACTGGCCATCTCGGATCTGTGAACGTGCCCTAAGACATAAGATGAGGGTTATCTTAGTAGACACCAAGTTGAGAGGTTCCAGGAAATTTGTAAAACAACCTTACACTGGTCATCTCTGATCTGTGATGAGGGTCTCCTTAGCGCGACACCAAGTTGAGAGCTTCCAGGGAATTTCTAATATAACATGAGACTGGTCATCTCTGATCTGTGATGGTGCCCAAACACATAAGATGAGGGTCACCTTAGTGGACACCAAGTTGAGAGATTCCAGAGAATTTGTAAAAGAACCTTACACTCGTTATCTCTGATCTGTGAAGAATTTTTACATTTCTAACAAAACATTAGGCCAGTCATCTCTGATCTGTGAAGGCGCTCAAAGACTTTTTGAATTTCTAAGATAGCATTAGACTAGTCATTTCTGACCAATGAAGAAGCCCAAAGCATTAGATGAGGGTCACCTTAGTGGACACCACTAGTTGAGAGATTCCAGAAGACAAGACACTATACAGCTATATAAGCCAGAATCTAAATTTAACTTTCAAAAAGAGAGCCTCTTATGGAATACAACTGACCTCACAAACATTTTTTTATAGAGAAAAAAAGTATTCTGTCCATCCCAACAGGTCACAAACCAGCATTACTATCTAAATCAGGAAAACAGATCAAAACAAGCATCTGATTTTTAAAGATTTGTTTTCCTTTTTATACATGAAGCCAGTAAACCAATCGATCTGTTTGTAATATTTTCAATGTTTTGTACACATCATGTAATCTCTGCCAAATGAAACTTGTATTGCTCTTGCTTAAAGGAGATGTCCATGTTTCAACCACGCTCTTCCTCAGATAATCAAGACTCAAAAAAAGTGGAAGTATTCTGATCCGCTGCTGGCTTCTTTCAAACTGTAGCACCTTTAACCAAGCATTATTTACATTGCACAGGACACTGTACATCCAGAGGTCAATGATGACCCTCGTAGATTGCTTTTGTAAAGGGCTGTGTCACATTGACACACCACCAGTAGCAGCAGAATCACCCATGAGGGGCTTTCAGTTACCTCTATGGAATGGCTCACTCACTGTCCCCAAACACTGCCCCCAAACACTGCCCAATGTCACTCACTAGTAAGAGAGCAACTTTTTTTTGTAGAAGCAAATAGACATGTAAGCTGCAAAAAAAATTGGGTTTGGATATTTTGTCATTTCGGGATTCGGGTCCGAAATTCAATTCGGTTATGGGTTTCAGATTCAGATGAAATCCGAATTTTCATTGCAAATACCACAGAAAAACATATACAGATATTAATACTAAAGCTGAGGCTCCAAATGCGATTTGGATCCGAAATGCCATCTGGGTCTGGGAGCCTCAGCTTTAGTATTATATGTATATACTGTATATTGCTCCCATGTTGCTGTAATGAAAATTCTTATTTAGACCCATTAGGATGTATTAAACCAAAAAACACATCTGATTAGCCCGAAAAGTCACATGTCCAATTCAATTTAGTTTTTGAACGAACTTCAGGCAGGATCCGAAATTCGGATTCGGACACATTGGGATTCGGAGATTGGAATGTGTCTGAATTTCGGAAAATTCGTCCGAATTTTGATTTGGAACTAAACCAAAGTCGCACATGTCTAGCAAGTAAATTGCCCCTTAGGGATCCTGTGTGATGCGGCCCTAACTAAGTATTTTGTGATGAGGAGTCACTGCAGAAGATTTCTTAGATTTCACTTCCCAAAAGAACAATGAAGCTACAGGCACTGGGGTCACATGACCTGAGCAGGTTATTTTCATGGATATCCCCTTTAAGGACATTTATTGCTAACGTTATACATGCCATGAAGGGAGAATGTATAGCAGCTGTAACTATGCAAAGTTGATATATTTTAGTTTAATATATTATATATAAATATATATTTTTACAACGTAATTGGCTTTTATTGCGTGTTTGTAAACATTTCATTCTGTATTTATTTAAAGCTGAACTCCAAGCACAAACCTTTTCATTTAAATATGTTGATGTTCCACTTCCTCCATTATTCCATCCAACAACTAAAGCCCAACTCCAAAGATTTTTAAGCTTTAAATAAGGTGTGTTTCCATTGCTGCCTCTGACCCCTCGCGAGTGATCTTTCCTCACTTCCTGTCCTTGTGACACCTGTGCAAGAAATAGGGCCTGCAGTTGTCACCTGGACAGAAAGAAATAAACAGGAAAACAAAAAATGCCAAAAACCTTTTCCTACTCTACTAAACTATTTTTGCCTATGTTTCCATTGGAGAGTTTCCAATGACTACCTGTCCTGACACCTTCGCGATGCGGACACAGACCAAAATCTGACAACGGACATTTTCTTTGACTTCCTGTCCTGACATTTCCTTGATGGAGACACAGATGAGCAAAACCCAACAGAGGCCCTAACGCCATCCTGTTCTATACAAAAAGAAATAGAAAATCTGGAGTTGGGCTATAATGGACATTGAAACTTTCCCATTTAGCCCCCCAAGGCTCATTGACACTCACCTTTCTGGTATACCAGGGGTAGGCAAACGCTGGTCTGCCAGTTGTGGGGAAAAAACAAATATCATCATGCATCTGCCTCTGGAAGTCATGTCTGTGGCTGTCAAGAGTCTTGCAATGCCTAATGGGATTTGTAGTTGCACCACAGCTGGGGGGGGGGCAGAGTTTTCCGAACACTGCTCTAGCTCAGCAGGTGAAAAATGCCGGGTGGTCCTGGAATGTAGCCTCCTCCCATGTGACATTGCTCACAGCCAATGGCCATGACCAGGCACTGGCTTGAGCATGTCTACTGGCTGCTAGCATTGCCATTGCCTGCCATTTGGCATGGCCATGTCAAAGCGGGTGATGTCAATGCTCCGGTTAGGCTCTGCCAGTGACGAATACAAGGTATGACAACTAGTGACATCACTGGTTGCCAGGAGCTGGGTTGGATGCCAGCCAAAGAAACCCAGGTTGACAAGAGCTGGGCAGGGAGATGTACAGGGGCCATACACATCTCACCGCCTGGCTCTTAACAACCACTGCAGGCAGGGAGATGTGTATGCGGGAGGGATGCTGGCCAGAGTCCCAGGTTGCTAAGAGCTGGGAGGGAAGATGTATATGCCCTAAAGGTCTCTCTCTCTGGCTCTTAGCAACCTGGGATGCTCTGGCCGGCATCCTGCCCAGCTCCTGACAAGCACTAATGTCACTGGTTGCCAGGAGATGAAGAGGACAACGGGGTGGTTTGTTGTAGATACATCTCTGGGTTCTGGGTATTTGGTGCCATCTGAGATAGAGGAAGGAGCGAGGAGGAACTCTTGAAGAGGTATCAGGAACTCCTACTGGACAGCACAACCGTGTACTGGACCTGCACTGCAGCAGAAAGACCTTGTCAAGAAATGTTAGAGTTGAGGGCCAATATTTCAATGGGAGCTTTTCTAATGACAAACGTCAAAGATGGGACTTCTCCTTTTAGCGGAGATACAGTGGGGCAAAAAAGTATTTAGTCAGCCCCCAATTGTGCAAGTTCTCCCACTTAAAAAGATGAGAGAGGCCTGTAATTGGCATCATAGGTAGACCTCAACTATGAGAGACAAATCCCACTTCCTGTTGTATCTCCTGGACATAA